ATTACAATAAATAATAAAGGCAAAGTTATATCAATTCTATCCAAATGCATATTTTCCATATATGTTTCAATAATTTTTAATGCCTTTCTTGCTTCAGGCGTTAACATGCGGGGTGAATTTGGATCTGATGGACCTTTTAGGATATCAAATAAAGGTCCCAACTCTCCTGTTGGTATGCCTAGATAAGGCCTTATCCAATTTATGTCTCCTAATAACTTTTGAAAGTCGTTAAGTGATTTGAGTTGATCTACTCGTATTTGAATTTTTGGTGGACGGACCATGGTTGAGGATAATAGAACTCCTAAATAATTAATTGGAAAATTTAATTGTACTTTATCTATTGCTATCTCTAGATTATAATTTTTTAATAAATTTGTAAGTGTGGCATAACATTCTAGCAATGTGTTTTTATCTTTGTGTGCTAACAATACATCATCCATATAGTGAAATATTTGTAGTTTAGGATTTTGATTTCTAAGTGGCTGGATTGCTTTGTTAACATAAATTTGACACATAGTTGGGCTGTTAGCCATCCCTTGAGGGAGTACTTTCCATTCATATCTCTGATCAGGACCTTCATGATTCAGTGCAGGGATAGTAAATGCAAAATGTGGACTATCCTCAGGATGAATTGGAATTGAAAAAAAACAATCTTTAATATCTATAGCTAAAACGTACCAGGTTTTTGGCAAAGCAGACAATTGAGGAATCCCTGATTGAGCAGGTCCCATAATAACCATCTCATTATTAATGGCTCTTAAATCTTGCAATAATCTCCATTTACCAGATTTCTTTTTAATGACAAAAATGGGAGTATTGTAAGGAGATACGGAAGGTTGTATATGTCCCTCCGCTAATTGTTGTTTGACCAGGTCATGGGCTGCTTGTATCTTTTCTTTAGTCAGGGGCCACTGAGGAACCCATACTGGTCTATCTGATTTCCAAGTAATTTTTATTGCCTCAGTGACCCCTTCTGAAAACCCAGTCCATGTCTATTTATTCCCTGATCTATCTGAATTGGTGCTGCTATGCCTTGTTCTCCTAATCTTTTTTCTTTCCTGAAACCTTGTCTAGCCCTAATAGTGGGCGCATTTGGATTGATGTTATTTGTTAATGTCAAACCTAATTGATCTAGGACATCTCGTCCCCATAAATTTATAGGAAGATGATCCAATACATATGGCTGTATAGTTCCTTCACATCCTTCAGGATCCTTCCAATCTAATACCATTGCACTTCTATGGGGATTAGTCGCCACTCCTAGGCCTCGAAGCGTTTGAGTGGCTTGTTGTAACGGCCAATGTTTTGGCCATTCTTGACGAGATATGATGCTAAGGTCTGCACCTGTATCCAGTAGTCCATTAAATTCATGTCCTTGAATATTTAGTTTTAGCATGGGACGAGAATCTAAATTTAAAGACAGCATAGCCCAATCTACACCTGTGGAGCCTAATCCCCTGGAACCTCTTTCTATAGTACTACTGGAAAATTTATCATGTAGGCTGGGTATTATTAATAACTGTGCTATTCTATCTCCTGGTGAAATTACTGATATACCCTTTGGAGAGCTAGCTATAATTTTTATTTCACCTTCATAATCGGGATCAATTACCCCGGGACTTATCATAAGTCCTTTTAGCGTAGAAGAACTGCGTCCTAACAATAAGCCTACTGTTCCTTGGGGAAGAGGTCCTTTTACTCCTGTGGGAATGATTTGAACTCCCATCTCTGGAGTTAGTACTGCTCTGGCGGAGGCGCAGATGTCCAACCCTGCGCTTCCTCTGGTTCGTCTGATGAGAGATCTGATGGATAATGTGTCCTGGGCACTACCCTGATGGTGTTGCTGGGTTCCTCCATGGTGTTTCTGGGTTCCTCCAGTGCCCCGTACATTTGTGGTCGTGGGCCCCGGAGCATTGGGCCCCCCTGTCCGTTTTTTGGCAATGGAGCTCGATGCCGTTCTCCACGATATCGTGGGTAAACACTTGGTCCTTGTCTGTTTTTTGATAACGGAATACCCTCTATGGTGGTTTGAGAACGGCATTCATTAGCCCAATGTTTCCCTCTACGGCATCGTGGGCAAATACCCGGTATTCTATTCGTTTGATATCTAGCTTTGTTAAACCCTCCTCCTATGGGGCAACTCCTTTTAAAATGTCCTGTTTGATCACAATTATAGCATGTTTTTGGCCTGGCATCTAAAGCCTGTTGTACTGCTGCTAAGACTTGCCCTTGTTCATTAATGTCTCTACATAATTTAATATATGTGTTTAAATCTTCATGTCTCCATGGTCTAATGACCTCTCTGCAACAACGATTTGCTTGGTCATAAGCCAGTTGTTTTATAAATGGCATTGCCTGTTCTGTATCCCCAAAAATTCTGGAAGCTGCTTGAATAAGCCTATCTACAAATTCAGCGTAAGGTTCATTAGTTCCTTGTATTACCTTAGATAATTGACCTTGTAAACCTCCATGCCCCTGTAAAGTTTTCCATGCCCTAACCGCATCTACAGCAATTTGTGCGTATACGCCAGGATCATATTCAATTTGTTGCCGTTGACCCTCATAAGGCCCTTTTCCTAACAACATATCTAGATTTCTTTGAGGGTAACCGGCTGCTGCATTTCGTCTAGCTGTCTCCCTGCAAAATTCCTCATTGGCAACCTTCCATAACAAATATTGTCCTCCATTTAGCACAGATTTACACATACTAGCCCAATCTGCTGGCGTCATGTCCAAGTTGGTAATGGATTCGACCATGCTTACAGTGAACGGTGCTTGAGGACCATAGGTTGTTACAGCCTCCTTTAACTGCTTCACTGTTTTGAAATCTAAAGCACGGTGAATTCGCTGCCCTCCTGCCTGCTCAAGTACAGGGCATGCTAATCTTTGAGGTCCTGTCTCAGGATCCCATCTATCAACTACGGGGTTTGAGGGCCACTCAGCTATCTCCATAGGGGGAGCTGTTGGTTGAATTACGCCCTCTGGTGATAGAACGGTGTTAGTAGCAGCCTCCTGTTGTAGCTTTTTCCCTAATAGCTGTTTCTCCTCTAAGCTTTCTTCCTTTAAATTTTCTTCCTCTGTCTGACTAGCTTGAGAGACCTTCTCTTTTGCTTGATCTAAAATGTCTTTCTCCATGGTCTGAACCTCTAACAATTTACTTAACACTCTTTCAGTTTGTTTTTTACTAATTTCTAATCTGTTATAAAGATAACGCAACCCAGTAAGATAACACAAAACAAAGCCGAAACAGGATGAAACAAAAACGGAACAAAAAATCGTTGTATCAATTTTCCTATTTTCTTGACATGTGCATTTGTGGTCTATTTCTATCTCTTCCTCAGGGGCGAACAACTTCAAACCTTGAGCCAACCATTTTTCCCAATCTGCCTGAGAAAATTCTAGGGATAGGCAGCTTGAAACAAACACAAAACAAATCAAAACAAGAACACATTGTTTTTTAAAATGGTCGCCCATTCTCTCGCCTTCCCTTAGGGGCAAGCAATTTCACTTACCCCGAAGCTTCAGACGTTCCCCGAACGGGCCGCCAAATGCCGCAGTCTGGCTGGGCACAAATCACGAGCCACTGAAGCAGGAACAAACTTTATTTTTAAACTGCAGGAAAACACTTCACACAGCTCCCGGGGAATCCTCCCGAACGCGCCAGGAGGCTTGTCCAGGAACCCCCAGCCGGAAATATCTCTCCCGGAAATCCCTCCTCCTGCACTTCCCCAACCAATGGGAACTCTCGGGGAATCCCCGGAAATCCCCATGAGAACTCCAAAATAGTGCGAGAACTCAAAAGTTGCGGCAGAGGCGGATAGTAATGCCTCGCCTGTCAATCAATACTGTTGGCAAAATGCCAGGGGCCATACAGACTCGGCCGTGGCTCTCAGCACTAAATAACCTGTACAACATGGATATACACTGCACAGAGGGATGATTTACATCCCAGACGGAGGGACCAAGTTGGCAATGAGTTTCATCACACTACTGAGAAAGGCACCCAACCAAAAACTTATGAATTGTTTCTTTTCCATTTCTGGACCTCCTTAACTGAGGGTAACTGAAACTTCAAAAAGGAAAACCACAGATAAGAGGGGATTGATGAAAAGAGAAGCATACAAAAGTACAATTTGTTACTATATATTTCAACCACAGAAACCTCAAGTTGCAAGTGTTCAAGCATTGCCTCTTTTATGGATTATTCACAATTAAATGGCGTGCAGATTAATTTGGAAAGCTTGATAATGTTATTTTTTAACCTGAATTAACATAAGGAAGCAATTCATTAACAGGCATCTCATAGAATGTATTTCATAGCAAATGTAAAGGGTACTCTGCTAGGCTCTGTATATATGTCTATTTAAAATCATAAAAAAAAAACATGCTTAAGGGATGGGGTTGTGTCTCAGTGGTAGAGTGCTTGCCTAGCATACATGAGGTACTGACTGGTTCAATCCCTGGCACCACATAAAAATAAACAAATAAAATAAAGGTATTATGTCCATCTACAACTAAAAAATATATAAATAACACACACACACACACACACACACACACACACAATGCTTAAGTCAGAGAATTCCACTGCTTTAGAATCCTTTACCTCTGCTTTATTTTCTCACCTCTAGCTTCCCCAGCACTTCTTTCTCATCCCTCAGACACCAATCTCCCCTTGGAACTTAACACCCCTCACTGAATTTTGGTACCAGGATTGTCCCCTTATATGGCACCATAACTATTCTCACCATGATCAACTATCCTGCTAATAAGTCAGGTTCTCATTTCTTCATTTAAAATGTTCCAGAGATTCCATCTAATAGGTCCAAAGAAATCTCTAGAACATAAGACCTATGATTACAGAGGCTTTTAGGGCTGTTTTAGTCAACATTGGATTCACAGCATTTAAAATCATACTTGGTACACAGTAGGCACTACATTCATTTTTGTTGAACAAATGAAATGTAATTGTATTTAAATGAAATTGCATCACACAGAAGTCATTAAAAAACAAAAAAATATTTTATTTCATGCATTTCATGTACACAATTTATAAATTCATTCCAATGGAGAAAACACTTATCTGTTGCACAGTTGAGCCTGACAGTTTTTGATTACTACATAAGAAGTTACCACAAACTTGATAGCCCAAAACATTACCCTGTTTATTTGCTTACATTTCCTTTGTCAGAAATCTAAGCATGGTATGCATGGATTCTCTCTTCAGGATTTCATAAAGTTGTGGTCTCATCTCAAGTATCCTCCAAACTCACACAATGCTGTGGGCAGAATCCCATTTCCTGCACGTTTAGGGCCGAGGTCCCTCTCTCCTTGCTGGCTGTCAGGGAGAGAGGGGGAGGACTACAGGCAACTTGGTGACCACTTAGCCACATCCCCAGCCCGATTTTGTATTTTATTTAGAGACAGGGTTCACTGAGTTGCTTAGCACCTTGCTTTTCCTGAGGCTGGCTTTGAACTCACAATCCTCCTGCCTCAGCCTCCAGAGCTGCTGGGATTACAGGCATGCCCCACCGCACCTGACTTGCCCCTCCATTTTCAAAGCCCACATTTAAGAAGATCTCTCACACTGAATCCTTCTCACACAATGGATCTCTTCTCTCAGGAAGAGCTTGGTCCTTTTAAAGGATCACCTAGTTAGGACAGTCCCCATGTTAAGGTTAACTGATTTGAGACTGTAATTTCATCTGCAAAAATCCCTTCACAGTAGCAAATACCTTAGCATTTGATTGACTGAAGAAAGATGGCTAATTGGAGTGGTGTTAGGGTCCATCACAAAATCAGACTAACATAGCCAGATTCTTACTTTTTTGTGTAATTGAGTCACAGCTGGATCATGAAAGTCAAATAAATAGATGTTTGAGAATAATAATAAATTACATCTCACTTAGCTGTGAAAAATCTTAAATCCAACTGGCATGTTAAATATCATTTAACTGACACGTTTTATTTAGGGCAAATAAAAAAGTACAATGATTTAATCTTTCCTTAGAATCTATATTACTTATCTACTGCTATATAACAAACTACCCAAAACTTGGCAGCTGGAAACATGGAACATTATCTCCCTCAGGGTGTGATGGTCAGGAATCCAGGAGAGGTTCCTTGAGTGCTTCTGGCTCAGGGTCTCTCACAAGGTCGCAGTCATCAGCCAAGGCTGCATCCTTTGAGGACCTGACTGGCACTGGGGGCTCCCAAGGAGCATGGCTCCTTCATATGGCTGTTGGAGAGGGCTCAGGTACTTGCTAGCTGGTCCCAAGAGGCCTCCATTCCTAGTCACCTGGACCTTTCCACAGGCTGCTCATGACTCAACAGCTGGCATCCCCAGAGCTAGGGATCCAAGAGACAGAAAGAACCAAAATGAAAACTGCAATGTATTTTAATCTTACACCCAGAGTCATAACCCATTACATCAACCTTATTCCATCACACAGAGGCGAGTTGGCAAGTTCAGGCCATACTCCATTATAGAGATGGGAATAAGCTGCCTCTCTGCAAGGGAGGATGAAGTGTTTGCATATGTTAAAACCAAAATTAAAGCCAGATATTGTGACACATGCATGTTATCCCACTACTGGGGGGACTGAAACAGGAGGATCACAGGTTCAAGGCCAGCCTGGGCAACTTAGCAAGACCTTGCCGCAAAATAAAATTTTTAAAAGGCTGAGGGTATTACTCAGTGGTAGAGTGGTAGCATGCAGGAAGCCCTGGGTTCAATCCTTAGTGACACACACACAAAAAAGCCACAAAATATTGTTTCAAGACTCTATAAATCAAATGCTCTCGTCTAATTTTTTGTTAATAGTAATATTTCTTTTGGGAAAGCCATAATTAAAAGTTTGAGACAGAAAGGTGATACAACACTGTCTCTGAGTCTTGCAAACATCTTTAATAAAAATACTCTATTAGTTTAAATAAAACTGAGAACATAAACTAGATCAAAGTTTCAAGACTTATGTCATAATTATGCTTTTATAATTATTATTATTTTCCTATGATGTTTCATATTTACTTTATGTATGCCAAAAATACAACAAAAAAGAAAAGAAATCCCTGGAAACAAAAAGAATATATAGTAAGGTTGCAGGATACAAGGTTAATATATAAAATTCAATCACTTTCCTATATACCAGTAAGGAATGAGTGGAAATTGAGAAGCAAAACATAATACCATTTACATTAGCACTCCCTAAAAGTTAGAGCTTGTTCTTCTGCCCCTTGGTGTACGTGTGTTCTTTCTTGGGGATCAAACCTAAAGGCCTCATATGTTAGGCAACTGCTTACCAATGAGCTACACTTCAACTCAATACTTAGGTACAATCTCATCTTAGGTTATAAATCTAAGTATGTATAAAAGCAAAACTACAAAACTCTGATGAAAGTCATCAACTAAAAAATACAGTATATTCCATGTTCATGAATAAAACAAATATTGTCATCGTAATTTTTCCCAACTGATCAATTCCAATCAAAATCTCAGCGAGTTATTTTGTGGAAATTGACAAACTGGTTTAAAGTTTATATGGAGAGGAAGAAAATCTAGCTAATACAATGTAGAATAAAAACAAAGTCAAAGGACAGTCACTACCTGACTTTAATAATCATGACTATGTAGTAATTAGTACCACATTGGTAGCCTTTATTAAAAACAGTATGGCGTTTCCCCACACACAAAAAAAAATTAAAAATAGAATGACTGTATGATTCAACAATCCTACTAGTGAGTATATATCCAAAGGTACGAAATCAGTGTCAAAGACATCTGTTACCATGTTGATTGCAGCATTATTTACAATAGCCAACATATAGACTAAATCAACTTGTGTTTATCAGCAGATGAAGAAAGAAAATGGGGTTTATATACACAATGAAATACTATTAAGCCTTGGGAAAAAAAAAAAAGGAAATCCTATCGTTTGTGATAAGGATGAACCTGGAAGACATTAAGTGAAATAAGCCCAGCATAGATGATTTCACTTATGGAGAACTAAAAAAAAAAAAAAAATCAAATTTATGTAGAGAGCAAACTGGTGGTTACTATAGGTTAAGCGGTGGGACAATTGTGGTGATGCTAGTCAAAGACCAAAATTACAGTTACATAGGAAGAAATGAGTTCAAGAGATATTTTTTATCTCATGGTGACTAAACAATATACTGATATAGTTGAAAACTGCTGACAGTGTTCTTGTTACAAAATAAAATGGTATATATGTGTGATATATGCTAAGTAACTTGAGTTAGCCATTTTCAATGGATACACTTACCAAAATATCATGTACATCATAAATACAAAATTTTTGCCAACTCAAATGATTTTTAAAATACACTGCGGTAACACCAAAAGAATAAATGAATGTGTGGAACAGAATGGAGAGACCATAAACAGATCCACCTAGATACAAAGGAGCAAAGACAGTTCAGTGGAGAAAACAGTCTTTTCAACAAAGGGTGCTGGACCGGACATCACATGCAAGAAAAGTGAAATGAGAAAGGCTCTCTTGAAAGGTTGCTATGAACATCAACTGTTGACAGGAATAAAAATGTGCCCAGCTAGTTGTTTGACACTTATTTTCACATAAATACAATGAGTGCACCTCTATATCTCTAAGTCCCCATCTGCATATGTTTCACAAGACATAAATTCATGTCAGTCACTCCATCACTCTGGTCCTGTCAATCCTCAGTAGGGTGCGATATTGAAGGGGTCTTCAGAGACCAGAATTTTCATGATTATGACTCCAAAACATTCAGGAATGACAAAAGGTAAATATATACACTAACATAAAAGTAGGCAATCTGGTTTATACATATTTATCTTCACTCCATTTCTATGATTCACAGTTCATTCAACAGATTTCAACCAACCCAAATCCCAGAACTTTCTTTAGTTCACATAGATGAACAAAGCCAAAATTCAGACTATTTTGTCCGTGGCTTAGGAATATCTACTATAAATTATTGTAGGTTAGTCCACTTTTGAGTGCATAACCTAAAGCAGATGGTTGAAATGTCTGCTTTTCAGGAAGGGTTATTTAATGTATCATTTAGATTACCCTGCAGAAATGTCATGGTTTGTTTTTTGTTTTCCTAAATAGCTGCTGAGCTTGCTTTTAACTGACAAACATGGTTAGGTTAACTTCAATGTTGGCGAGTTTCACATGTACTAGTTTCACATATCTGTAATGACAGTACTTTGAGCCTATTTTCCAGTAATTAAGACTTTAAGCCATTGCGAATTCAAATATGAGAACCTTGTCACTAAGAAACAGAGAAAACCATTCTCCCTTTTACAGTTTTGCCTCTTTTTACACTAGGAAACAAGTCAGCTGACAAACTGAGGTGTTCCGCCTCATCTAAATGCATTTCAGCCCAAGCTTGAGCAGCAAGGACCTCCAGAAAACTCTCCCTGTCTGGCTTTTGGACCCCTCAGCCATCTTCCCTGTTTCCAAATAGTGAGTTGGTTAGCAACTGTCTACTCTCTAGCAATCCTGCCTTCTGAGGACCTTCCATTTCCCACATGATCAAAATATAGATCCCCCTGAGCCACCACTGCCCACAGGAATGTGTCTGGGGTCTCCAGCCACAAGAGACACTTTAGAACACACTGCAGGACACCTACCATCTGTACACAGGTTCACACTGTGTGGACAGGTTTATGTATAGGTGCCAAGGGAGACTTCACTAGCTCAACAAAGCTTGACACCTGTACTAGTGTCACACTGTCATAAGCAACAGGGGATACAAAGGAGCCTGATCTAACTAAAGGCAACCCCTACAACACATACTGCAAGACAGGACAGGAAAAAAGGTCATTCTGGGCCAACAAAATTAGAGAAAAGTAAACAATCCTGGTTAGTTTTCTCATCTAAAAACCAGTGATGTAATTCCTATCACAGCACTGAGGGAGAAATTAGAAGACAGTGCTAGCAGAAACAAACTCAAAACATGGTAGGCTAGGCATTCTAAACCAAATTCTGTCTAAACTGACAGGAACATGTTCATACCAGGACTCTTGTTCCTAGACTGTTCAGCCAGGATAGGAAGGTGGAGGCAAACGGGGTCAGGCAGGGGCGGGTCCCTGGGCAGGACAGGCACTCAAGTGAGGCCAAGGCCTGGAAGACAGCCAGTTCCTGGTGGCTGTTGGGCAGCTCAAGACAGCTCCCTGCCTCACTAGCCATGGTCCTCCCTCTGGCCTGGATCACTCAGTACTGTCGCCTTCGCCTCCTATTGCCCTCCTGGGCCCCCAAGGATGCTATTTCCAGAATCCCAAAAAAAGCATGGAAGAACAGACCAGCTCCTCAGGTGGTGGGAAGATGAGGTCACCTGCCAGGGTAAGTGGCAAAGGTGGGAGGAGTGTGTCAAGATTTGTATGGGGGGGCTGGGGGTTGTGGCTAAGTGGTAGAGCACTTGCCTGGCATGTGCAAGGTGCTGGGCTCAATCCTTAGCACCACATAAAAATAAACAAACAAAATGAAGGTCTTATGTCAAACTAAAAAAATAAAATGATTTGTATTAAAATAAAATGATTTGTATTGGGGTAAGGAATAGAAAAAAAAATGTCCAGTTTATGCTGTATCCATCAAACCCTGCAGCTCCTTGCCTAATTTTAACTCTCAACTCCTTCCCACCCCCACACTAACCTAGATCTCAGGGTTCCCTCTCTCCTTGAACAGGAATTTCCCCTTCATCTAACAGTTAATTATTTCCTAGGGAGGAGGGACAGTTAGTCCTCTGTCCATAAACCTTTTTAAGGCAGCCCCTGAGCCAGTGATATCTACCTAATCCCCTTACCCCCCAGCATGTCTTTGATAGAGGAAGCTACCTGAGCTTCAGAGATGACCTTAAACTAATAGGGTATTTAAAAAAAAAAAAAAAAAGACAGAATTCTTGAATTCCAGCCACACTCTGCAACACAGCTTCCCAGTGTCTCAGCCCCCAATCCTGGCTGATGCTGCTGCCTCCCCCAATTCCTGCTTCATCCAGGAACCTTGGCCCCACCACAAAGCTGAGCTGACTCAAGCTGAAGAGTTGCTGGAGCAGCAGCTGGAGCTGTACCAGGCCCTACTGGAAGGGACAGGGGGAGCCTGGGAAGCCCAGGCCCTAGTGCTCAAGATCCAGAAGCTGAAAGAACAGATGAAGAGACACCAAGAGAGGAAATGCCTAAGCTTCCCACAAGTGCCCGCATAACCCTCCAAAACCTGAAATACTGCCCAGCACCCTGCAATGGGCCCTTTCAGAAACATGCCAGCCCACCAAAAAATGAAGACAACTCTATAAGGGTCCAAAAAATTGGAAAGTAGTTGAGGAGCCATGGCCTATGCAGGCTTATTCTCACTTTGACCCCACTCTACAGCAGGGTACTCAGAACTGAGAAATTTATCCTGGATTAAGCCCTAAATAACTTTACCATAAGCAATAAAGGATGGAGCACTTACAGATACCACAGACACATTTGTGTTTCATTTTTAGTTTTGTTAAAAAAAATTCTGATAAATCAGGAATGGGGTTTAGGAGTGGTGGTGATGCAAAAGAAGGAAGCCTTGGGGAGGGGTGGGGGCTGTCGGGGCAGGTGGCAGTAGTGTCTCCTTCACCCCCACACCTGGTGTCCTCTCCTGAAGAGATAGACCGTCACATTCCAGAATAGGTGAATCCTCTACCGCGTCTGTTCAACTGAAGACAAAACAAGGCAGTTAAAATAAGGCACACAAAGGGGAAACCAACACAGAAACACACAGGTACATACATGAAGATGTTTGTGTACCATGTAGATTGAGAGGACAGACTCAGGAGTACGGAAAGAAATCCTTTGAAGAAAGAAAAAAAGACCCCACAAAAATAGTAAATAAAACACCCCAATCAGTATCAAAGATCAAGGGACAAGAGGTCATCAAAGGGCCACCAATAAGGCATCAGGTGACCACTACCTACATAAGGGATTCAAGACATACACAATAAGAACAAGGAAAATCTAAGAGCTGGGGGAGCCAGTTTCCTGAGCTCCATACTCACTGTAGGAGGAGATGTCTATCTCATCAGGCAGCTCACTGATGTTGACCTCAAAGCGGTCCTGCACATCATTAAGAATCTTGGCGTCATTCTCATCTGACACAAATGTGATAGCCAAGCCCTTGGTGCCAAAGCGACCTGCTCTGGCCACCTGGAAGAAGAAAAAAAGTAAAACTGGAAGACCCTAAAGATGGAAGATGTACAAAAAAGGCTGGGCACAGTTGTACACGCCTGTACAGGCCGAGGCAGAACGATAGCCAAGTTAGGGGCCAACCTCAGCAACTTAGTGAGACCCTGTCTCAAAGTGAAAAAAAGGGCTAGGATGTGGCTCAGTGGTTAAGTGCCCCTGTGGTCAATCCTTGGTACGGTTCCATCCCCTCAAAAAAAAAAAAAAAAAAAAAATCTTAAAGAAAAAGATACATAAAATAAGGGTATGGAAGAGTGGGGTATCCTGGATGTGGTACTTACCCGATGTAGGTAGGTGTCAGAATCCTCAGGCATGTCATAGTTAAAGGCAATGTTCACCCGCTCAATGTCCATGCCTCGGCCAAATAGGTTGGTGGCCACAAGAATCCGTCGTTGAAAATCTTTAAACTGCTGATACCGAGAAAGCCTTTGTGAGAAAGGAAATTAGGAAAATGTTGAGGTCCCCTTCTCTCAATGGTTCACTTTTCCCCCAAGGTCACAAAGCTGTTCTCCAGCTCCAACTCACCTCTCCTCCTGAGGCATCCCACGGTGGATGGCAATGGCTGGAAAGTTCTGCTCCACTAGGAGCTGGGCCAGGGCGATGCACCGCTGCACAGACTTCACAAAGATCACCACCTGTATGGGAGGGGTGGTGCATGAGAGTGAGGGGGTACATAGTATTTAAAAGAAATTACACATGTGGCAGAGTTTTTAATAATCTTACTCATCTAAAGGAATTCCTCTCAGTCCCTATTATACCCTATCACATATTTCCTTTTCTGTTCTAAATACAATTTAGCCTTTCTCTCCAAGTTCTGATGATTTCTAGGTAGGCTGACCTCTGAGGTGGTGTGGAGAATAATCATCCAAACTGGCAGACATGTTATGAGACAAAGATAAGGCCATCTCATAGATAAATGCTAAAAGTTACAACAAAGTTCTAGGAAGACCACAACTAATATTCCTACTTACCAAAAGACTAAGGGGCTTACCCTAATTCTAGTAGTCTCTAGAGCAAAGACATCACACACCAGGTAAACTGATGGGTTGCTTTTCCTCAACAAGGAGTACAAGAAATAAACCAACCCTAAATGCCTAGAATAGCTCAAGATTTTTACAAACTTCCTAAAACCCTTCAAAAATTTTACTTTGGGAGCTGAGCACGATGGTGCAGGCCTGTAATCCCAGCAGCTCATAGGCTAAGACAAGAGGATCATGAGTTCAAAGCCAGCCTCAGCAACAGCAAGGCGCTAAGCAACTCAGTGAGACCCTATTTCTAAAAAGAATACAAAAAAAATAGGGCTGGGCATTTGGCTCACTGGTGGATTGCCCAAGCTCAATCCCCGCTACCAAAAAAGAAATCTACTTTTGGGGGTTTATTTTACTTGACATCTTCATTATCCCACAGTCACAGAACGCCTTGCTCATGCTCAGTCCCCAAAAAACATTTATATTCCCATTTATGAGAATGTCTCCACCATTCTCTCCTCATATGTGGCTCCCTCAACACACCTTGGTCACAAGTTTCTGCTATAACTTGTTATGTATCCAATGCTGCTCATCACTCTACTGGACCTTGAACACTGACCTGGTTGAACTCAAGGACATCCAGAAGGTCAAAGAGTTTCCGGTTCTTCTCGTTGTCCTTCAGTTTCACGTAGTACTGCTGCAACCCGTGCAGCGTCAACTTCGTCTCATCATCCACGAAGATCTCCATTGGCTGAGGGGGAGGAAGGGGGTGGGGAACGGGAGGAGGGCAGAGTGGGGGGGTTAAACCTGGGGGGGTGGAGGAAGTTGATCTCCAAAACACCCCATGGGGGGATGGGGAGAAGAGAAAAGATTGAAAACCCCACCCCACCACTAAAAATACCCAATTTTACTGTGGTCTTTTTCACACTAGATCTAATTTCCTTCCTTCCTATCAGTTGATTTTTAAGATAGCCCAATTGAAAACTATCAGGGGAAAAAGGAACTTTGCAAAGTAATGGAGCAGTGAAACCATCCAATGGCAAGACACCATTACCTCAAATGGAGGTGGTGAAAGAAAGAAAATAGGTGACATTCAAAGAGATGATATGATTCAAATACCTTAGAAATGATGGGGAACAGTGACTCAAGGTCAGAGTAATTCCATCAGAGCTGGTTATTAAGAACATGGGGGAGATAACAAGGAATGCTCCATTTTCATTGTCTCTCAACTAAGAGAATCTTATACACATTAGAAAGTGGATGTCTTTAAGATCAGAATGGCTATAATGGATCTAGTCAAAAAGTCCATTTAAGAACCAAAAATTACTCAAGATGAGTATATTATATGGAATAGTTTTAGATGAGACTGGTCTCTAATAGTCAAACCATCTACAGTTTGGTTTACATGGACAGCACTAGTAAAGGGTGCTAAAAAATAAAAAACAGCAGCAGATAGCATTCATCTTTAAAATTGAAAAAAAAAAATGTTTTGTTTTTTTTTTTAACAACACACACACACACACAACCCTTGAAGGGGGGGAAAGCAGCATAAAAAAAGACATAAGAAGCTGACACAAGACAACTCTATAGCCAGACTTTCCTAACACTCTCCCTACCATCTTGGGGGACCTAATTAATGTATAGATCCAGAGATCAAGATGGGCAAGGATGTGTGTGTGTTTGGGGGGAAAAAACTAATCCAGAAGCAGAATCCCAGAAGGCAGGCTAGCAAATCATGCTTTTCAAAGAGAAATTCCAAGGCCGCCTTCAAATCTAATTCTAACAACAAGTGCAACTAAAGAGAAAGTTATTTCAAGGGAAGGAGCACTGCAGGGAGGAGAAGAACATACTCCACTGCTCAAACAATGGGCTCCCCCCAAGCCCCAACCCTAACACCCATCTGATTACATCAAGTGGAAATCTCCACTTTACCTTTCCCATATCCCTCTCCTCTGAATATTGAAAAATAATTCTTTAAAAGAAAAAAAAATCCACCACCCATTCAGGAGACCCCACCCCCAACACATATGGGGGAGAATGGGGCACAGCACGTGTTAGGTTCAGGAAAAAAACCGGGAACGGAAAAAGAGGCTGGTTTGGTCCTCAGCTTCCTGGTCAGGTTTCCCCGCGGCCTCCGCTGCCGCCATCCACAGCTCGGTGCCGTCCGCATTCCCTCGTCGTGCCACGGTGCTTCTCTGCTGCCGGCTCACATCGACCGAGGTTCCGATGGGTGCAAGGAGGTATGGGTGGGAAGGAGTAGGGGACTGGGGACTGAGGTACCAGAGGCCCCCACCCCTGGAGGTGGGGAGGGGGCAGATTCATTTGTGTTGTTTGCTCTTCTTCTGGACATGCCCTGCAATCTGTCTGTCCCTCTCTTACTCTCCTACCACCGGGAGTTATGAGTTTTGATGAGCACAGAAACTCCAGCTGTATGCTTGATGTCACCTTGGGGTGCGTGGCTGTAAGGGGTATGTAGGAGATGATGGATGAATGGGTGGTAGGGCAGAAAATCCTGCCCTCCCCCAAAAGGGAGAAGAGGTTCAAAAATGCTGGGATTAAAAAAAATGTCGAACTCTACCCGCTCTCACGTTAACCCGACCAAGTCTTCCGGAGTTTCCCTGGCACCCGCGCAGACCCTAACACTAGCTGTCTCTGCCTCTGTGTGTCTCTTCAAGGAGTTGTTGCTCCCAGACGGGCAAAAGCCCCCTTCTTGGCACTTGAAGGACAAGGGAGTCTGGAGGAAGAGGGCGAGGAAGGGGAGGAGGCAGTGGGCGGGGAGTGGAGGGAGAGAAGGTAGAAGGGTATTTACATCTTGCATGAACTTGCGGCAGACTGGACGGATCTCTTTGCCCAAGGTAGCACTGAACATCATGACCTGCTTCTCATGGGGGGTCATGCGAAAAATTTCCTGGACATCCCGACGCATGTCTACAAGAATGAGAGATTAAAGATAATAGACATCTGTGATAATGATCAGAAACAGACTTCCCAGTGAGGTGACTACTGGAAATGGATAAGGAATCATTTCAGGGAAAGATGACTTCAGGTCTCTCTACTTTCTCCAACAACTCTAAAACCAAATAGTAATAACAATGGAAAACACAATGACTACAGAATAAAGACTTGGGATCAGGTTCCAGCTGCTCTAACCAAGCAAGAAATATGATGAAGCCCTAAAGTTCAAGACAATACAACAGACACAAAGCCCGCTACAAAGGCTCACAAGGACATATAAATATGCTTTATAGGCCCTTGTCCCAATTCCTCTTTACCCAAGTTCCAAGTTCTAGCAGTCTACAAGTACTGAGCACTTATTACATTCTAAATGTCAGTCCATTCCATGCCTCCTCTGAATCACACTTTCCTACACTGTCAAGCAAATATAACATCTCTACATCTATCTTATAGCTCACCACCTTGAATAGTCAAAGATCATTTAGAATGACTTGTCTGGGTCTATATCCATTCCCATTCTCCCATTCTTCAAAATTTGGTCTTACAGAAATTTTTTCTTTTATTAACCCCACTTAGCACACTAGAATACCACACCACACAAACTCCCACAAACACTCACCACATTAATCCTAGAACTTAAGTCTAGAAACCTATTCAGCTATAAATTCTGATCACATATGCTGTGCTGGGGATGCCAGAGGGTGGACTGTCTCCTCCTTCAGTTTAACATCTCTCCCATGACACTCAGTATAGGAATCTATAAAGAAAAGGGTGGTGGTGGTGACTTTTACCTAAAATTATCATAGTCCCCTACTCTCAAAGAACATCTATTATAGAGAGAATACCAAAGGGCTAAGGCTATAGCTCAGAGGTACAGCATGTGCTTAGCATGCATGAGACCCTAGGTTTAATCCCAGCACAAAAAAATAAAATAACAAAAATAGTCCAGGGAACTCAGAGCCATCAGTCATGGGTGATAGATTAAGAGTCGTCCTTGCACCGAAGTGCTCCAGTATCAAATAAACATCATTTGGCTCCAAAGAGCAACTCCCCGGACCACGTGACCCCATCCCAGCACTACCACTCACCGAGCTGGTCAAGCATCTTATCACATTCATCCAAGATAAAGTGTTTAATATGTTTGAGGTTGAGGCTCTTATTTCGAGCCAGGGCTAGGATGCGGCCAGGAGTCCCCACGACGATATGCGGGCAGTTCTTCTTCAGCACCTCTTCATCCTTCTTGATAGACAGACCACCAAAAAAAACTGCAACCTGCAAGTCAGAATAAAATAGTCTCTCAAAGAAGGAAAGAGTCCATCCTCCCCAGAGTTTCCATGCTTTCAGCTAAATCTAAACTGGCAGGACATTTCAGTACTAAAACCAACTTTAGTGATCAAACATTGAGGCTAAGAAACAAAAGTGACTTGCCCTAAGTTACATGGTTAATGGAGGCAGTCAGGGCTAGCAGTTTTTCTGCCTTAGCCCATTATGTCCCATCATCCTATACAAAGAGCATCAATAAAAACTTAAATTACGCATTTTTATAGGTGTCCTAAATATAGGAAAAACAGGGCATAAGGGCTTAACCATATACCCTCATATGACTCTAAGACCAGACTTCATGTTAAGAATAAGGACAGCAAGAAATCACCAGTATCAAGTTCCACAAAAAGCACATGGAACACCAAGCTTTCCCAACTGGACCAGCACACAAACCCTACACAATTACCAATTTGAGCTAAATCTATTACTCCATGTTTAAACTTTAAACCATCAGGCAAGTAACACAGAAACTGCTTTCTAGTTTCGAGGGGGAAAAGAACAAGAAATCAAAATGAAAAAGCCATGGACCAGGGATATAGCTGAGATAGTGTGCTTGCCTAGAATGTGAGAGGCCCTTAGTTCAATCCTCAGCACTGAAGGAGGGGAGGGGACTCAAATTGTCATAACCCTAACTCTATGATAAATCTGTTTCTTCCCTGGTGTAAATCTAAAATCACTAATGCAAGATCAACCAGTTTTGTGGAAAAATCAGAGGTACAGCATTGCCCATAAAGGACTCTTGCCAAAAATGTTTGGCAATGTTCTTGCTCAAATCAATCAGTTGAACTTTCAACTATAAATTTTTATTTTTATAAGAAATACTGGGAGGAGGGCTGGGGCTGTGGTTCAGTGGTAGTGCACTTGCCTGGCATGTATGAGGTACTGGGTTCAATTCTCAGCACTGCGTATAAATAAATGTCTATGAATAACTTAAAAAAAAAAAAAAAAAAAGGAAATACTGGGAGCAAACAAATGGCTAAACATGATATGAGAGTAACCAGGCAAATCCAGAATGGGACATTCTGTAGAACTGTCCAAGCTTCTTCAACAAGTCATTTTAATCATCAGGAAAGGAGATATTGCTAAGGATCAAGCCCTCAAGCATGCTAGGCAAGCACTCTGCCACTGAGCTGTAACAATTTAACACTCTATCACTGAGCTATAAGACCTCAGCCCTCACTGTAACAATTCTGAACAGAAATAAGTAAAGTAAGAGTTAAATAATGACAATTCTTTTTTTTTTCACCCTTTTAACACAGGGTTGTGCCTAATTGTCCAAGCTGACCTCAAACTCTGAGGCTCAAGTGATTTTTTCCTGTTTCACCCTCCAAGTAGCTGGGACTACAAGAATGCATCATATCTGATTCTGACACCAAGTGTTTTAAGGGTGACACCAAGTGTTTTAAGGGTGATGATGAGCTAGGCCTACAGAGGTGACTCTCACTCACTACGGAACTCAATAGTAAATAGTTCTATCAACCTAAACAGTTTTCTGGTGTGTAACTTTCAGACTCCACCTACAGATTAGACTGCTTAGTAAAAGGACAGAATATAAACCTATTCATTCTGGCAACATAATAGGAGAGATATTCCTAACATAAATATATACTATACTACATATACAGGGCCTTCAGACTGTATTTAAAGAATTAACATAGCTTTCAAAATACCCAGAGGAAAAGTAGTATAAACAAGACAAATAATGTTTCATGAAAAGAAGTCTGAAAGCCTAGAATTGACTAATTAATAGTGCCTAATACTTGATTACACAGAACCATGAGGATTTTTTTTTTTTAATGGTTGTGATTACCTTCCGTGAAACAGGATTACAGATGGGAGAGCACAAATTTTCTCATTATAAAACCTAAACTACTTAAACATTTTTATCATGCACTGGTGATACTATTTCAGTTTCTAAGAAATTATTTGCAGTTTTAGGCTATGATTCAACATTCCTAGTTTCTTTAAAATGTGAAATAATAAATGGGTAACGATTTGAACAAAAGTAGTTTTTCACTCTAACCTAGAAGAACAGTGTTATCTACATCAGTGTCTCTCAACCTCCCATCACATAAGGATCATGTTAGAACATTATTTCCATACACAGTAGGTCTGGCACAGAACCCATATACCCTGTATTTCCACCAAGTTCCCAAAGGATGCTGAAGCTATTGATATTGGAACCACAACATAAATATTAATGACATATAATGGAAAACAAATCAACTCTGTTGCAGCCCCCTCATCTTTCAATTTTCTGCCATTTTAAAGAATTCTCAAAATTCACACAATATATTGCAGCTTTCTTTTGCTTTTAGAGCTTCCTCTTGCCACACACCCCAAAATTCTCAAAACTTACCAAACACACTAAAATGATTCAAATTCAGTGTAAAGAAGTATGAAGTAGTCCATGGTAAGCATTATCCGTCAACCCAATCATGAGTTCTCATGCTACAGTGTATTTACCCTGTATTACACCAAAGCAAACTAAAGCCTCTTCAAAATTAATAACAAGCATCTCTGAAAATGTAATATAAATCCAAGAGTTCCATATTTTAGTAATATATCTAATACACCCTAAGTCTGCAGAAATTTACTATCAGTTATGTGTTTGCTGAAGTTCTTGTATAGGTGTTTAACATCTGTGGAACAGAAACTGTTGATCTACAAGTTTCAGGTGCCTATAACTCCCCATACCCTCATTTTCTCATGTTTCTTTACTCTGGCTTACCTTGACATTGGGCATGTATTTAGAAAAGCGCTCATATTCCTTGCTGATCTGAAAAGCCAACTCCCTAGTGTGACACATCACCAGCACGGACACCTTGAGAGAGAAATAGAGATAGATAAAATTAAGTACATACATACCTCTGTTATCCCCTCAGACAAAGAGATTGTCACAAAAGCACATGTGACATTTATAAATGACTTCAATTTCTAAGATTTAAATCGTTAAGCTCATGCTTACTGCAGAACACTCCACCTAGTTGTCAAGGATGATAAGAGGTCATCTAAACAAGAGATGTAAATCTGAAACTGGGCCAGAAACATTTCCCACATATCCCTAACCAAAATGCTTTCCCCAACACTCTCCCTAAGTATACCTGTCCAGTAACTGGCTCCAGCTGTTGCAGTGTGGCCAACACAAACACTGCTGTCTTTCCCATGCCTGATTTGGCCTGGCACAGGACATCCATTCCCAGAATGGCCTGAGGGATACATTCATGCTGGACTAGAAGAAAAAAAGAAAGAAAAATTTAGAATGCAATCCCAAGTAACTCCACAACCATTCCAAATTCATTTCTTCCCACTCAATTCCCAAAGTATTTACCTGATTCTTGCCAACTTTCAAACCCTTTCAACCTCTCTCTGCTCCCTCAATCACATTATATCCCAAAATGAAATCCTCCTAGTTCCTTCCAGATCTCACCTCCTCCAGGTTCAGGCCACCCCAGTGATGCTAACAACTCTCTTAAATCTACCAACAGCTCACCTTCAGTGTTTCTGGCTCTGTCTGTATTTTTCTTAAACTGTAACAATCCACGATATTTAAATACCTGCCACAGACCATTTCTCCTACTTAAGTTACCATACTTTGGGTCTCATAACCCTACAATCTTAAACAAAATGGACTTATTACCTGACCAATCATAAAATTTCTAAAGACCAGAGTTGGCCTGACCCAAAAGTGGAAGGTCTAAACAGACCCTTTCTGGAAGTCTAAAAAAAAAACTTTTTTGAGAATTTTTTAAAAATATTTTTTAGTTGTTGATGGACCTTTATTTTATTTATTTGTATGTGGTGCTGAGAGTTGAACCCAGTGCCTCACACATGCTAGGCGAGCAGGCTACTATTGAGTCACAACCCCAGCCCCTGGAAATTTAAAATTAATGGTCAAAATAACAAAGTTAAAAAACAAGCAAACAAGAAAAACCAGACACAAAAATAAAAAGTAAGCTTCTAAATTGTTTTTGGATCACTAACACTTTCATGCTATCATGAAAGAAAAGCCTACACAGCCTCTTCTAATGTTAAGATCTTTTTTGGTACTTATTTATTTCCTGGTCTAGTCCAAACATAAATCATTACCACCTGAGGAATCATAAGCACATCCTTTCCTTGTATCCCCAAAGAGCCTAATGAATAATCCTTTTCTTTGTATCCCTAAAGAGCCTAATGTATACTCTATGACCAACAGAAAATTTACCTTCTGATGGATGCTCAAAGCCACAGTCAACAATAGCCCGGAGTAACTCTGGCTTGAGCAGGAAGTCCCGAAAGCCAGAGCTATGGATGGAGACATAGGAGCCCTTGACATCCTTCTTGGCAGGAGCCTCAGCTCCATCTCCCCCAGCTGCCGTTTCCACCTCATCATCTTCATAGTCCAAGAGCTCATTGTCCACATCATTCTCTGCCATAATTGAGCCGGCAGGGGGAGAAGGGGAGGGGTCTCTCGATGAGTTCTCCCAGAACAGGTGAAAACAAGGGGAAAGAGAGGGGCTTGATAAAGGGCAAAAGAAAAGGTACTAGTTTCTGATAGAAGAGCTGAGTGGGGAAAACAGACAAAAAACTTATCAGTCACTAGCAGACTTTCACCACCTCTTTCCCACTGCCACACTTTCTACTTTCCCTGAACTGTGAACCCTTTATCTGTTAAGGAACAGATATAAAACATAAAAATAAAAGACAAATATAATGAAAAAAGTGGTCTCAGGGAATATTGTTCCCAAAAAGATTGAGCTCACAGTAGCAGAACCAGTTAGTTTGACAGGGGAAGACCAATGCATACATTTGTAATTGTAAATAACAATGAAAAAAAAAAAAAAAAAACAGATCATGAAAAGGTGACTATGACTAAATAAGTTTCCTTATAATCTCATGGTGTCCATTCCTAACAGCAGCCATCAGTCAAGGGTGATAGATTAAGGTCAGCACTGCGCAAAGCGCTCACTTCTCGAAATGAAAACATCATGTGGCTGCCAATCACCTCCTACACCTCTCCAGTATCTCGCGCCTAAGTACCCTCCTTCAGTTGCTTAACAAACCTATGTCATTAACACCGAGGAGCAGGCCTAAGTGAAACGGCTCAGAAACAAAAAATAAAAATGGGCTTGGGTGTAGCTCAAGGGTAGAGCAAGACCAGTACCGCAATATATATATATACATATATATACACATATATATATATATACACACACCAGAAGACATAATCAAAAATATATTAATGATAGAAATATAACAAGCTTTAACAGAATGTTCACCAAGTGGTCTCACATCACTCTTGAGTTGCTACCTCCACAAGACACATTTCTAAGAAACACAATGACACTACCAATAAACATTTGGAAAGCCTCCAAATTAAAGTGGGTAAATCGAGGTGAGAAAAATCCAATTGGGTCCATAAACCTGCTCCTACTCCTCATCCCACAGGGGGCCCAAAGACCCAGAAGAGGGGTGAGAAGAGCCCCGCCCTCCGCCAATGCCCGGGACCAGAATAAGCCTAGCGCCGCCTCTCGACGTCGCTGGGGCCTCGGGAAGCGAGGGACCCACTGGAAGAGCTGGGAGCAAAAGGGGCACAATGGCGCCTGGGCCACCATCTTGGATTGTGCCCCCCTTGTTTCCCTGCCTCCCCCTAGGAGCTCGGCGCTCTCGAAAAGAATAGAAACAAAGAAAATAACTACCCAACCAGGCCCCAGTGACCAGATCATCGCTTGTGGAAGGGGTATCAAGAATCCATGTGATAGGATGACCAGGGAGAAGCGCAGATGGAGGCGGATGGTAGCAAAGGCCAAAGCTTACCAGAGCAGGGCGAGCGCGTATGGCGGCAGCAACAGCGACGAGGGAGGGAATCTCTCTTCACTTCCGGTTCCAGGCTTCCCTCAACCCTAGCCTCCCGCCGTCTCGGCTGCCAGAGCGCAGTCGCATGGTGCCGGAAGAAGGACCTTTCGCTGTTCTTTATCTCCGCGCGCTCTGGGGTTGCCTTTGGAAAATGCCTGTCAGAAAAAATGTTAAAGGCCTTTCTAACTCCTCCGTTATTGCCAAAATCAAGACGTAAGGAGACTAACTTCTCTTCCTGCTGCTATTTGTCCACTCCTATTCACGCCCCTCATCTCTTCGTTTACGTTTCTGCCAAGCAGGTCTTCTCTCTGGGCATACCTCCGTGGGCGCGAGAGGAACGAGGGCGGCAGGGGATGTGAGTTCCCACGGGGTCCTTGGCCTGGTAGTCAAGGTGACCTGGAGACGGTGGGTTTGCGCTAAGAAATGTCTGACTGCAGGTGAAGGGTGGGCAAGTGTCAGGAGACTGGAGTGAGCTGTGCTTGAGGGTTATACTCCGTGCCTTTCCCAGCTATGAGGACGTAAGGTAGTATTTTCCCAAAATGATGTTTGATGAAGTAGGCTAGTACATAAGGAATGTGTCAGCCCAGTGGTACACAGCCTTAGGGGACAAACAAATGAGGATGGTGGGAACACGAGTTTAAGAGAGTACTATAAAATGAGCCCACTCTGCTGACCCCGACATGCTTTCTTTGCCAAAAAGCAATTTATCTGCAGCCGTGCCTGGCCTAAGTGACTGGCCTAAGTGAACTGGTTATGTCGCATTCCTCAGCAAACTACCTGTTATCTGTAAGGAAATGCATTTACAAGAGGAACCCAAGTTACTGTGAAGGGAGAGACATTTGTGACCCTTTTCACAGACCAGATTATAGAAGATAAGGATAATTCCTCCAAATTATGAAGAATCTAATTAGAACCAATTAGAATTGATGAAGAATCTAATTAGAACCAATTAGAATTCTGCCTGGGCCAAGGTGAGAATTGTTATGCAATGAAGATTTGAAAGTTTGATGTCACTCTGCTGTCAGTCAAAAGTCAAGACCTGGACAGAACTCTTAGGAAACTTCCCTGCCCACCCCAACCCCCAATAAATTGTAGTGCAGGAGGGGCATATTGTCTCTCTTCACTCTGAGAGGACCCACTCTCTCCCTTGAGAGTGTCCCCTTTCCCTTTTCCTGTCATTTCAATAAACTCATTCTTGTTACTCTGAGCTACATATCTGAAATCTTTCTGACTTGATCACAAGAATTGGGTTTGACAAGAGGGTCTTCATGCTGCCTCAGTTTCTCAGAAGGCCCCAGCTCTTTAACAATAGGACCTATGGTCTGGGGCTGTAGCTCAGTGGTTGAGTGCTTGCCTCACATGCGTGAGGCACTGGTTCAGTCCTCAGCACCACATAAGTAAAAATAAATAAAATACTGTATCCATCTACAACTAAAAAAAAAAAAAATTCTTTAAAAAAAAAAAAAACAAGATCTAGATTCTGCCAGTTACAAAAAATAAATAGTAGGGCTTGAGGGTTGGTTGTAAAGCTTTCTAATATTGTTCATTAGAGCAGAATGCTTTTTAGCCCCACCCCAACAGACCTATTGTTCAGCCTGGATTTTTTTTCCTAAAACATTTGACATCCCCCTCTTTATTTAACCCTAAGAAGTAGCTACTATTATCCCCATTTTATAGCTAAGCAAATAGAGAAGTAAATCAAATATTCAAAGCAAACCATCTAGTAGGGGCTTAGGTTGTGGCTCAGCGATGGAGTGCTCGCCTCACGCATGTGAGACCCTGGGTTCAATATTCAGCACCACATAAAAACAAATAAGTGAAATAAAGATATTGTGTCCAACTACAACTAAAAAATGATAAAAAAAAATACATCTATTAAGGTAACAGCCAAGATGTAAACATCTCTAATTCTCTATCATATCCTGCCTCTCTGCTTAAAGAATCTTGTTAATAAACACAGTATAGATTATTACCTCATTAGTTCAAGGCCTTGACAAGCAAGCTTATCCTCTGTGGTGAAGAGAAATAATCATAGGATGGTATCACAGAAGAGCAGTTTTCTGAGTCCTAAGTATTATTTAATTTATTTCACAGTATTTATCAACTGCCTGCCCTGTGCCAACTACTATCCTAGGACTTGGGGACACAGCAGTGAACAGCCCTGTGCTCAGAGTTTACATAACAGAGGAAACAACACATAAACATATAATGTCAACTCTTGAGTGCAAAACAAGGTAAAAGGGGAAAGGGTGCTTGTTCCTACACTCCAGTTTTTCTCTTCCAGTTGTTGTCTCTAATCCTCAGACTCCAAAGCAAAGAAACACATGTGTTTCTCTGCACTTTAGAGAAATAATGAAGTGCCATTTGCTTTTTTTTCTCCAGAAAGTTTCGAAGGACAGCTCTTTTGGTGTTTCGAGAATATGTGCACATGGAATAAGAGAGTGACTGAAAAGGAACAAGAGAGTGAGGCAAAAGGAGGCTGCTCAACTCACCAACTGATTTGCTCTTAGTTATTTTATTGACCCTTTCTTATTGTTACAAAGGGAGAGCAAGGTGTTAAGGATACACAAAGGAAAGTCATGCATATGGGGGATACATATCACTTTAGATCTCAGGAAGCAGTGAGCATCTGGTAGTCTTTGGGGAAACAGAAAGAGAGGGGAATCCAATAAAGAGAAAGGCCATCTTAAGTGATACAAAAAGAGAAGCTGAGAGATGCCATAGCTACCTGGAACATAATAGAGGGGCTAAATTAAGTATTTTTTGCGGGGGGGGAAGGGCCATACTGGGGATTGAACTTAGTGTCTCTATGTTGCCAGGCTACATCCCCAGCCTTTTATTTTTTTATTTTATTTTTTTTTTTTTTGAGACAGGTCTCACTAAGTTGCCAAGGTTGGCCCAGAACTCACAATCCTTTTGCTTCAGCCTCCCAAGTAGCTAGGATTACAAGCATATGCCACTGGGCCCAGTTCATTTACTCTTTTCAGAGACCATAAGGTCTCTGGGGAAAGCAAGGTAAGAACAATTCTTCAGAGAATTATTAGGGATACAGAATGAAATGAGTAAAATTAAAGAGTCACTGGCAGAAGTCAGGAAACAGCAGTATTTAGGTTTTGGTAGGTGAACAGAGGTGGGAATAATGTCACAGGAGTGCCATTTATTGAATAATAACTACTACCTGTCAGGAACTATGTTAAGCTCTTTACAGAATGATTCCTAATTGTTGAAGCAATCTCACAAGGTAGGCATTATTATTTCAGTTTTTACAGAGGAGAACATTGAGGATTCCAGATTAAGTAGCCTGTCCCAATTGCATGGTCAACAAGTGGCAGGGTTGAGAAAGGAACTCAAATCTGCCATTTTCTGAAGTCACAGGGCTTTCCATGTCCCTACTTCTCCATGTTCCACCCTTCACATGAAGGAAGGGAATGACTTCGGTACTTACAAGGATCCAGTGAGGATTAAAAAACATAAATTGAAAAAAATAAATAAATTCAGGTTTGAGCAGAATATTTACAAGTTTCACAGGAGAATATTGGATTCTGGTTCCCAGATTTTCCAAAGAATGGAGAGTTGATTTTTTTTTTCTTTTGGTGGCACTAGGAATTGAACCCAAGGCTTATGCATGCTAGGCAAGGGAAGGTGATTTGACTTGGGAGATTTCTTTGAGGAGGAGAACTGGCTGGAGGAGTCAGACCCCATGGTCGATCCTAGGCAGCGATCCGGTAGTTGGGGTGGACCTGGGGCCTGACATCGCAGACCATGCCAAGAAGCTGGGCCAGGACACGCTCCCGGTTTCTCTGCTGGGAACTCTGCATGCCCTGTACCTGGCGCCTTGTGGCCTGCTCCACTTCAGCTGACAGGTTCCCCTGGGAGCCCATGGCCTGGGGGATGGGAAAAGGGGTGGAGGAAAGACAAAAGCAGAACAGAGAAAGGTCCAGGCATGTGGAGAGGAAGATCCTGAGCAAGCCAAAAAGAAAGGCTTTTTCAGAAACTGTCCCCATCCCACAGAAATAACCAGATATCAAAGAGATCAACACAATCCCCTGTTCTCTAAGAACAGACATGCAACCTCATCCTAAAACAGGGATTGTAAAGTCTCCACCACCTCACCACCCCTGACCATAAAACTCTGCCCTCACCCTAAATGTTATCATACCCCACACAGATTGTGGAGATTCCCCTGGCCCCCAAGCTGTTCATGTCCTTCAAACTGCCACTCTCTTACATATCATCTCAAAGCTTTACCAACACTATGAGCCTTGCCAGAGTCCCCTAAGCCCTCTACCATAGTATTTTCTTGCCTAGTCACTTGTACACACCTCACAACATGCTCCTACCAACTTGCAACTGGGTGGGTGCTGTCCAAACTCCCCCCACCCCACAACTCACCGCCTGCTGCTTGCTCTGGAATTCCTGCTCTCGCTCTCTGCGGTACTGCTCCACTTCCATCTGTGCCTCTTCCTTTGCCTGCTTCAGCCTCCGAGCCTTTCCTGGAGGTAGAAGAAAAGACAGTGGATAGGATGGATCCCCCACCAACTGTGATATTAGGGGTCAATCCCTTCCAGAAAGTTGTTTGGCCTTCTCTCAGCCAAACCAAGTGTTAGATTTTAATACCCACCGATTTCTTCCCTCCTAACCAACACTCAGCACCCAGCTCTCGACCTGAAAGCCTTGAGTTTGCTAATCTCCATCCCTTATTTTCCTTCCAGATTTCTAAGGGAGAGGCGACTCACTCTTTCTGGCATCTGCTACCTTCTCCGCAGCCCGCTTCTCAGCTTGCAGGAGCTGCTGGATACCCTGGGACTGACTGGCCATTTCCGTCCTTAGAGCTGATGCTGTTTCGTAGGGGACCAAGGTATCAGATGGCTTCCCCCACCCCCAATGCCTACTGCTACTCCTCCTCCAGCTCGTTGCTGCAGTCCTCCACTACCCCTGGGTCTTAGTGCTCCCCTTTTCACTCAGTCTCCTGCATTGGTTGTCTCCCCCAATCTGATCCTCCCACTGATGATGGTCCTCCTCTCCTACCTCTCTCTCAGGCAGTACCCAAAAGGACCGCGTGGGAGCAGCAGAGACCAGGTCCAAACCTGCCGGTTAACTTCTCTACAGGTGTAGGATCTTTCCAGTCACCAAAGTCTAGGGATGGGAATAGAGACTGAGAAGGGAGAAATATTTGGGAGTATTTGGGTGGGAGGAGGAGAACTTGATCAGTGGTCTCAGAGGAGGCTCAGAGGGAATGAAAATGGGGTGAGAAGGTAAGGATGTTATCATGCGACGCGTGCTGGAAAAGAGATGTACTGGACTTCTCTTTTCTCTCCCCTCTATCTCCATCTTTTCCTACATGTTTCCAAAGTCCAAATTTCTGTAATGATCTCTCTTATCTCATTTGCCCTGTGCTACAGTTACAGTTGTCTTTTTATGTCTTATCGTGTCCGTTTTTCTCTACTGATCTATCCCTGTTCTCGGTTTAATTGTGGTTTTGGTTTTGCATTTTCACTATGATTTTTATCTTATCTTTACCTCCCCTCTTTTCTTTATCTTTTTATCTTTCCATCCATCACCTAACCATGCCCTTTCTCCTCCCAGTTGAGTGAGGACAGGGGTAAACCTCCAAATAGCCCTCCTTTTTTACCCCGCCTTCGGCTTCTCATCCTGTCTTCCGGTTTATGGAGGAACCTTTGTCTTAAGTTCCCAGTTCCCTCCGGAGGCATAACTGAGTAACTACCGGTTCGGGGCAGAACGACTTCCGACAGTGCGCCTTACAGTTCATTTCCGCCCTAAACCTTCGTCTGTGCTTGCGCCATTTCCGCCAGCCTGGAGTGTCTCCGCCCTTCCCGCCTCCCTTCTCGGAGCGTCTTAAACACAGGCCTTGGGCCTACAGCTCGGGGGGTACTTGGGGGGCGGGGGGGGGCTGGTCTGATGAATAACCCCTCCCCCCAGGTCCCAGAGGAAGAAGCCTCTACATCTGTCGGCCGGGTACATTATATTCAATTTCTAGATCATTATTGGAAATTGTGACTTTTAAATTCAAGTTTCTCCTGATAAAATTTCCACCATCAGGCCCTATTCGTTTTTTTCAAAATCAATTATAAACAAATTTTAAATTTACCTGGGCTTTTGAACCTTAAAGCAATTATGCATCTTTTTCTCAAATTTTACGTTAAAAAATTAAATCTGTGACCCTAACCCCACTCAAAAATTTTTTTCGAACCTATAATCTGGTAAAGGATAAGAGTACAATAGGCCTCATTTTTTACTGGAGTTGTGAAAAGAAACAGGGAACTAAAAGGAGAAACGAGGGAATGTCTGAGATGGAGGGGGAGGGACCAGCCAAGGCTGGAGTCCTGACTGCTGCCTTTCTTCCCTTCTTTCTCAGCCCAAGAGTTCCATGGCCTCCACTTCCCGCCGTCAACGCAGAGAGCGTCGCTTCCGTCGTTACTTGTCTGCAGGACGGCTGGTCCGGGCCCAGGCCCTTCTCCAGCGACACCCAGGCCTTGATGTGGATGCTGGGCAGCCCCCACCACTGCATCGGGCCTGTGCCCGCCATGATGCTCCTGCCTTGTGCCTGCTGCTTCGCCTTGGGGCTGACCCTGCCCACCAGGACCGCCATGGGGACACAGCGCTGCACGCTGCTGCCCGCCAGGGCCCCGATGGTGAGTCAGCCTCGTGGGGAACAAGGTCATGAGTGATGGTCATCAGAAGTGAAGGCCAACTAGTAGCTGGGAAACAAGCTAGTTATTTGGTCAGTTGAACCTAGGGAGGCAACTGACAAGGTTGGCGTGTGGCGATGGTTTGTGCCTTTACATTACTGAAATACCATTGTCTAAAGAGCCTGGCATTCCCAAAACAGGAACTACTCTTCCAATTTCACATCTTTGCCGTTTAGTAGCTACTTTGTTTCTTGATTGGTTGTGTTTAGCACAAAAATAGAATAGAAGGTAGGCTTTGAAGTTGGATTGCCTGAGTTCAAATCCCCAGCTGCACACTTAATAGCTGTGTATTCAGTTATTAAATTGTCCTGAGGCTTAGTTTGCCAATGAGCAGAATTAAAATAACAACCTTTACTGTGTACCCTATATTTCTCATAAAGTAACTGATTTAATCCTCACAATAACTCTACAAGGTAATAAGTATGGATATTTTACCCCACTTTCCTGATGAAGAAACTAGGCACAGAGAAGTTAAATCATTTTCCAGACTTATACAGCTATTCACTTGTAGAACAGGGATTGTAATCCAAGCAGCCTAATTATGTAGTGTCTTGTGTTGTACATTATGGAATTATATAGTGATTGCGCCCACATTCATATTCAGGCTGTGACGTATATTTTGAGAATCAATCAACATAATGCATAATTAGAATGCCTGGTACATGATAAGCACTTGATAGATCCTGGTAGTGGTTGTTCCTATTGTTATCAACAAGTACGTACTCCCTTACACACAATTCTGAACCTCAGAAACACTCTGGGAACAAGTTTTTATCAGTTTGCCACCAAAACTCATTTGGTGACAAAAACCTAATCCGAACTAAAGTGAGGCTATCTCTGATTTTTTTATCCCACTGATGTCAATATTCAGAGATTTCATACCAGAAACATTGATGTGTTTGGTTACTAGGGCTGCCCAGACTCCCCTGGGATACCTAATCTACAGTATATGTATTTTGAGATCAGTTCTATCAAATCTCAAAACATCTGAGTTTTGAAAAACCTTTGATCCTGAGATACAGACGTGGAACCTGTTTATATTGCAGTTGCAGTGGTAACAGCTCTGTAGCAATATAGCTTACCAAAATCAAAGGTGAAACCCCTTTCTACATCTAGAGATTTCCTTCTAGAGTAAGAGGAAAGCCTCTATGTTCAGATGAACAATGCTAATTTAATTTGATTTGCTATTTTTCCATCCTCGGGTTTCCAGGTATGTACAGGAACCCCTTCTTCTCCCATACGGTCTTAAATCCCCTTTAATTCTGCTTAACATAAGTTGCTTTCACTCCCATAACTTGGTATCCTCTCAGTATATCAAGTGAGATAGCTGGTATATTTTAATTTTTTATTTTATTTTATTTTTGGTACTGGGGATTGAACAGGGGCACTTTGCCACTGATCTATATCCCCAGCTTTTATTTTGAAACAATCTTACTGTAATTGTCCAGGCTGGCCTTGAACTCATGATCCTCCTGCCTCAGCCTCCCAAGTAGCTAGGATTATAGGCATGTGCTTCCGAACCGACTTGGTTGTTATGTTTTGTTTTGTTTTTGTTTTGTTTGTTTGTTTTTAACTTAGAAACAAAGAGGGGAGGCTTACCAAGTACAGGTATCTAACTGGCTGGCTGATATTGTAACAGGCAGGGCTTTGGAAGGCAACAAAGCAGACTACCACAAGGCAGAGCTGCTTCCAGATAGATCTCAGCTCTACGGAGGACAGAGACGTGCAACATAACCTCTGAGCCTAATTTGCCTCTCTAAAATGGGAATTGTGATGAGTAAGTGAGCCAAACATTTGGTGCAGTTTTGACACCCCCTAAATGATATGTATGTTGTTTTTATATAATTCATTAAGGCTTTTTGAGTAATAAAAATGTCCGTAATGATGTGGTAGACATTTCCTTCATTATACTGAATTCTAAGAAGCATGTAAGGTTGATATTATACAATTTACAGATGAGGAAAGGGGGGCCCAGAGGTTAGGAACTAGCCTGAAATCTCATAGCTGTGAGGTGATTGGATTCACTCCCGTAACTTGGTATCCTCTCAGGATTTATTTCCCCCAGTCCCTTGCCAGCTCTGCCACAAGGTGGCCTTCTAATACCTGTGTGTTAGAAGGCCCTTCTCATTCAGCCAACTACTTTAGAAACCACCTGCCTTAGTAAAATGAAAGGATCTTCTTTGAACAGATTAAATGGCCCACAATCCCCTGCCAGGACTTTTTTTCCCTAATTCCCATGTTAAGTCTGAGGGATGCTCCAGTTCATGCTGGAACAGCTGGCTGAGTTATACCCAGTAAGATGCAAGTGAAGGGCTCCTACCTTTTAGGCTTTGGATGACTTCTTTTAGAACCCGTCACTTAATGGGAAAGTGGTCTTAGCTGCCAGATTACCCCCTAAGTAAACACACCTTAATGAAACAATAACCATCCTTTACATAGAACAAGAATTAGTGAACACTGAGAAGCAGGGGGTCATTTTCTCAGTCTTTTACAAAATGAATAAAACTCAAAGCCAGTCTGTTTCTTCTTTTTTAAATATAACATTCACTGCACTTCTGCTCTGTACTAACATAGTACCAGACATTCAACATCAATTACTCACTTTGATCTGTGCAGTAGAAACAAGCTTTGACCCCATTTTACAATGACTGAGCATCCGGTTATGTTCCACTTGCCTTTCCAGCCTTACCTCTTGCTGCCTAGCCACAGACCCATGACTCCAGCTATGTGGCTCTGTGTTCAATGACCCTAAACACATCTTTTACAAATCTGTTTGTCTCTTAAATGTTGCTTTCCTAATTTCCACTTTGCTAAGCGTTATCCTCCCTTACCAGCTCAAGCCCCACCTCCTTCTTGAAGCCCTCTCTGACTACCTCACCGACTTTTACCTTTTCCTCCTCTGGGCCTCAGTTAATCTTCACTCAGTATAAAATTTTGATACTACTTTTTTGTCTTTTTAAATAGGCTGGTCTTGAGCTTCTGGGCTTAAATGATCCTCCCACCTTCGTCTCCCAAAAAGTTGGGATAATAAGCATACACTACTCTGCCCATCTGTGATACTTGCATTTTTAGAAATTGTGTTCAGGGCTGGGGTGTGGCTCATTGATAGTATGTGCAAGAACCTTGGTTTGATCCCCAGCACCACAAAAAAGAAAAACAT